ATAATCGAAATTTACTAAGTTCGATCGAATTAAAGGAAGAAAAATCATATGAAAAAATCGGGTCTCACTCAAAGCGATCGAATTATCGGAAAGGTCGAATTATGGGGGGTCGAATTATCGGCAATCGACTGTAATATGCGTGCACTTAGAGGGTTTATCTGAATTTTCCACTTGATGACTTTTCTGACCTATTTACAAATATATTCAAATTTCTTTTGCTGAGACTTTACCTAACATATTTTTTTTACAAATTAAACACTTTTTTTATTATTCAATTCAATACTCTCATTAAATGAAAATAACTCTTTATACTCCATAAACCAATTCATTATTTCTCATATTTGATAACATCTACCATATATTTCTTATTTGCATGTTCTTGTGTCGTCCTTTTCTTTTTACTCATAAAAGTTTATTTCGAACACAGATAAAACGTTATGTACCGGTCTTTATTTATTTTTCAATTTCCATATGCGGGTGCCTTCTTTCAATCTTATTACCCATAAAAAGCACATGTGATTTGACAGTTAACAGAAGCATGTCAATGTAATTGTCGAAATTGCAAAAGCAGAACTGGGATATATTAATATTGGACAAATTGTTAATGATAGGGAGTGGTCTCATAGCATTTACTCCACGTGAATGCTCAATAAGCTACAACCAAGGATTCAACCAGAATCAACAATGGGGATGTCAAAGATTTTGAACTTAATTCAGAAATCATAAATTGTCTATCCAGTGTCCGTAAAACTGTTTGTCAAAGCTGGGGGATGGATATAACTAAAATTTTACATATTTAACAAAGAAAGCTCGACAAAACTATATTACTGAAGTATTTATTAACAAAAATTCTAGTCACTGGACAATGTTTGATATTGTCGAGTCAATACACGTGGGAGAGCGTAAACATAATGATCTTGAGACTTAACTTTTTCGAATAAGACCTTTGGCTATCTCTGCTAATGTCAAATCTATAATACCTTAACGTTGGGTTTATTATACTCATAATCGGTTTTGTATACGCCAATCCTATTTAATACGTTGATTTCTTTTGATGGGAAAACTTATCGGTCGGGAAATTCTCTCTGCACTAAACGCGTTTAAAAAAATCAATGACAAGTTCGATCTTATTCGGAAAGGCGATGTAAACCTTTATCAGGGAATGAACGGAATAAATTTATAATTTAACACGAATTTTATTAGAAGATAAAGAACCATTTTAAAGGCAAGGAATATAAGAACAATTATTGAATTTGATAGATCTGATATGCTGAAGATACTGTTTGCTAGTGAACTATAACTATTGATCGTTTCACTGAATTAATTTATTGTCACGAATTGCGCAGCTATTATTTATAAACCCGATATGTCATAGCTTTATACACTGACAGCGGAAGAATAACTTGATCATGGTAGCTATTTCCTAACATGAATTGTATATTCGTTATTGTTACGAGGTCTTCTCGATACCATGCTTAATACACTCGTATTTAGTGAACATACTCTCTCATCCGTGAGTAAGCATGCTCCGTCATCCCAACCCATAGATTTCATTATCCGCGTTAATTCAAAACATACTGGTCACTGGCAAAAACTCCAATCCAGCTTCCACATTAGTGTTATCAATATCTAAAACTTCCAATTTAGTTAGATTTTTCAGATTCACTAAACTGCCGGGTTACTGATCGCTTGCCTAGAAATAATAGTCACTAGGACTTTCATTCCGAGTTGATGGAAAAACTTGCCCTCCTCTGAAATGAAGTAGTATCAACATAACATAACCTTTATAATAAAACCAAATTCGTTTGACGATGAATATGAGGGCTAAAGCGTTTTGATAAATCATTAATCCATTCATTCGAACATGCATCAAAGTCATAGTGTTTACAGTCGCCATTTCCACAAGTTTTACAGTTTAATCTTTATACCATAACGATAAACACAATTTCAGCTTTACCATTTTGGGATAAATAGGTCGACAATTTCTGTCAATACAGGTTCTAAATAATGATACACAGTCAGTCTCGATGAGCCGGCCAACGGGGCTTATCGAGACGACCGAGTTATCGAGACTCACGTGATGAAAGATATTTAAGTAAACAATTTTATTATTAATATGATTTACATCGTAAAATATTCCTGTAAACTAGCTTGTCTTAGAGAATCGACTTGCTTTTTTCATAACCGAGTTTTCGAGTCCTTTATTGGTCTTTTTTCTTAACTGACGTTGCAAATCTTTCATCCCTGACAGTACAGAACTATTTCTGTATTTACATTTATATCATTCGATTGTTGTAAGTTCAATAAATTCTGGATGCTTCTAAAACTGTTTTATCTGAAACTAATGGACATTCATCTTCTTCGGTTTCTTCTTCATTTTCAGCTGCCTCCTGAACAGCATTGATAATTTCATTGTCATCAATTACCTGAGTTGCTTCTAAAGTTGAGTCAATGTCAATGACATGATCCTGCTCTAATCGTATGATTCAATGACATGATTCTGCTCTGATCGTATGATTCAATGAGCTCTAATCGCATGATTCAATGACATAATCCTGCTCTAATCGTATGGCATGTTTCAATGACGTATTGTGGTTTAATCGTATTAGTATTAGTATGTTTGGTTATTGATTCTAACTATTTGATTTGTTCGATTAATAACATGTTATTTCAACGAATTTATATTGGATAATTGTTACCGTACGATTTGTGATCAACCGGTTAAAATTGAAGGAAATAGTGTTACGTATTACGAATATCACGTGGGCAGGCTTATCGAGACGCATTCACTAATACCTGTTGGCCGGCTTACAGATTTACATAGTTTGGCCGGTTTATCGAGAATTTTTAAAGTGAAAAAAACGGCAGAAATTTTTTGGCCGGCTTATCGAGACTGTAGTTTGAATTTTCGAGTTCTTTATTAAGCACACATTAACATGGGGAACCCCCTATTTATTGTATAGTTTGAGGATTTATTTATACAGGCCGCTTTGTATTAAGAGAAACTGTTACCAATACGTACGTGGATATACTATGTGACAATGTGCATATCAATTTAGATTACAAACTTTATTAATTCACTTGCTTTGTACTAAAATTTACTTTTGAATGGCATATAATAATGCATAAATAAGCTTAAAAAAAAAAGGTAAACAAACAAACGATTGATTTACCAAAAAATAAATATCGAAATTATGAGCAGATGCTTATGTTGAATACCACTTCAGGTATCCGTTGCCTTTTTTCTCGAGAAACGAAATACATCGCTTTTTCAATAATAATTTATACACAGACTCTAATAGTATTGTTGTGGATGACGATATGTTTGTAACCAAAGCAAGATAGATACGTCTTATTAAAACATGACAATCAATTTTTAAATTAAAATTTCTTTTGTGCTTTCGCATCGCATAGTCTCCTCTAGCCTCGTCTAGGCTGCCTCTTTTTTACTCGGAATCACTGTAACACTTCCAGCAACACAGAGCCTTCAATCCTGGTGTGCCCATACCGTCGCCAACATCAAACTCTGCATTAGAATAATCTATCTTGTTTTTCTTTGCTTGCGACAAGCTTGGATTCTTATTCTTCTTGGAGTCATTTTTTTGAGTCATTTCATGATGTTCGTCATCCGCATCCGATGCAGAGTGTGAGTTGTGTTTGCCGGCTTTGTTTTTCGTCTTTTTCCCAACGGGGTCCTTGGTCACTGTTTTATAAGATTTCTGCGTTCCGTTATCTGCTGGCCTCACAGGATTTATTTTCGGTTTTATAGTTGTGCTGGGATTATGTAAAGACTTGCCTGAGGAAGCTTGCGTCTTGTGTCTAGCGTTGTTCGAATTGGCTCGGAAAGAATTAGGTACGTTGGGTTTCTGGTCCATTGGTTCTTTGAGAAATAAAAAAGCGAATGTAAAGTCACTGTCAAACAGAAAAGACATATGTCGGTCTTATATACATTTGTAAGCAGTATAAACTAATAATAGTTGTTCAGTCAAATGAAGTGTTATTTACCTTAAATTGAATGCATTTTCCTAGGGGTGCTTTCAAAAAATTGAAATGATGATCGAAATGTGCGATCGATGAGATGAGGTGAGGTGAGATGAGGCGAGTGGGATGGGGTTGATCGCAACTCGACCAACTGACTTTGATAATTCACGCAACGCAAAGCAATGTTCTTGTAATGTCTCAAAGTGGAGAGAGTGTTTAGAGACGTTTTTACGCATCGACAAGGTCGGTTTACATATCAAGACGTTCTTACCATTTTTGACAGCATACAATGTGTATTTTTATGTACAGCGAAAATCTATTCTCATGTGAACATTTTTTTCTGCGAGTACACGTGTGGCTATAGTGTGTAATGATTGGCTGCGCACAAAAACATGGTTAATAATGTACTATCCAAATTTAGTGGTTTGTTCTGCAAACAGCGTTCCGCCATCGACGACGACGCACATAGAGAATTAGCTGTACCGAGACCCTTTCACTTCACATGAAGCCTTGTGTATGTCAGTTATTTTCACGGTTGTAAAATACTTTTATTTGTCGAAATGGTCAAGACTTCGTCTTACTATTCATGTTGCATACGTACAACGTAGGATGGTAAACAGAAAAACTTTGAATCAATAACCTTATGCTTAATTAATCCACGGTGCCAATCAAAAAAAACAAAACAAACGGTTTTTTTTAACCGAGATAATTGAAGAAGGGGACACAGACGTTAGTGCAGAAGTCAAAAGTGCTGGTTAATATTAATCAGTAAATGGTTAATCACATGATTATGAATCAGCAGACTTTTTTGGTCGTACAAACTATATTCTTTAATACCGACAGGGTTTACAATTTACTCGTCAACAAGCAGAGCAACTGTTATTTTACAATAAGAAAGTATCTGTGCTGTATATCTATCGTCATTTACTGCGGACAATCGATATTACAAATTAATCGACACCAGGAATGTGCTGGAACATACCACATAGAAAAGTCGTTTGAAATTCAAATGCCAAACTCTATAAGTAAATTAGTGATATATTTTTATTTGCTTTCGGGTTACACTATCGCTACTTAAAATTCAATTAAAAACAATTTGGTTTATTAATTAGGGACATTGGTGTACGAGTTGTAACCAAGTATGAGTATTCCGATCGGATTAACAAACATATATGGAATTTTGAGGCAACTGCAGCCAGTTTCTTACAGACCATGTTAGACTAGTCTTTTTTTCGCGAATATTTTTCCGTGTATAACAAAAACGACGTTTTCCCCCGCCCGTTGCAAAGTGTACAAATCATAAATGTACGGAATAATTACGTGGGTGGAATCACGGAACACTTATTCCTGGCAAGCTTTGTTGGATGTTATCCGCGTTTGTGGCTATTGAGTCGTTGAGAAATTTAATATATATGTTATATTTATTGGCTAACTATGGACCCGTTTCGGGATTGGCATATTAGAATAGTTTCTTGCACCAATAAACTACAAAAATTGTGTGATAACGTCAAGACAATCTTGAAACCGGTTGACTCGTTCTCAGATCCCAGAAACGGGTCGCAACATATATGTCAATAATATACAAATCTATAATATACTTGCAGAAAGCGCGGGCTTATCAAATTCTTCTTCCGATTATTCTCTTTGCATGACGCGATGAGTTTGGGGCTACGTATTAGGCTACGTATATCTGGTAATATTCCCAATAGTAAAGCTAGTCGGCCGTAGCCCATTTATATAAACGCAAATAAGGAAAATGACAGGTAACCGGCCAAAGCAAATGTTGTGGGTACAAACCTGTTAGCGTTAACAACAATTAGAGTAAACTCTTAAATTTGGGCAAGATTGAATACAACATTAAAATGAATATTCTACTAATATGTACTAATACGTTGACAAAAAACGGATTTCAAACTGCTGGCCTTGGCATCGACCAAAGTATACCATTACGACGATTATTGGATTATTGCCAGTGCATCTAGTATGTAATCTTGATTATAAGACTTGCTCCGAAAGCTGTAAAGTGGTGTCAAAAGAGTCGTTGGCATAAAGAGAGGACCGGTTGCCAGAGAAATTTAGCGTTATTGAAATCTTGGATATGGGCGCATAATGCGACACCGTAGTATATTATACGGTTAAATGTTGTAAAGATTTGATAACTATGAAGTTGATAACCTGGTTGAGTTTGACTAGATTACTTTCTCCAAAAATCTCATCGCAAAACAATTTTAATTGAGCAAGTTCATTAATGTCAATGCTGATAAAAATAACACCGTCATCTTTCATTAATTCTTTAGCCAATCCCAATCTTTTTCGTATAGATGAAATTCAATAACTATGCTGAAAGGGGTAGTGTGAAGATCGGTAAAGTAAGGTACAAGGAAAAGTTATAATACGAATTAACAGCCTATAAATATGAGCGTGTTAAAAATGCGATATGTTATTGGTTATTATGTATTATACATTGCATATAGGATACGTATTGTATTTTGACAAGCTCGTGTTGTAATTCCGATTTGAGTAACAGTTCTCGTGGTCTTGTGTTCCGAGCCCCTCATTATTCTATGATCTACAACGTACATTCTGCAACATCTACTTTTGTCTTCAAAAGCAAATACGTGATAGTAACAATTTATGTTAGAATGGGGGGAAAGCCAGTGATAGGTGTTCATTGGTCTGTTCTAAGTTGTTGGAATGAGCAATTAATCTCGGCAGTTGATTCTAAGACCATACATACATACATTTCGACATCTAATATAAAACAATATAATACAAAATTAATATAAAATTGATACAGTACATTGTTAAAGTTATTAAACTTACCATGTTTTCTTTTTCTGTTGCCCATACATAACCATCTAACTCGTCATTAAAGACCACAATTACTGGTTTGGTCACCTAAATAACAAGAATTGTTAAAGTTACATTTGTTACTTTTATTGTTTGAAATCACAGATAACAGTCGACGCTTACTTTTACATGGTATTATTTTTTATCTTGATGTCCTCATCAAGAATGACGCCTTCATAAGCATAGAGTCATAATAATCCACAGAAAACTTTTTCCGCTCAATGGATTAATTGATAATTTTTCTGAAAGTAAAAGCAAGAATTGCTCGCGCCTCCGTGATTAGAAAAGTGCATATGATCACGGCTACAATTAAATTGTGAAAAAATAATAATTAAAGTGCATGATAACTTAGAATGCTTACCAACATGCAATTTTTGTGTGTATGTACAAATGGGAAGTTTTACTGTCTCACATAACCATATTTCAAGATCCTCTTACGTAAAGTTGCTAATGTTTTCATACAGCGTCGCAGATAATCGGGTTTCGCAACAGTATCGTCATTTATATTTTGGAGCTAAAAAGAGAGTAAACAAAACTGAGATGTGGCATGTAGTAAACAAAACAACAATATAAAGACAAGTAAACAGCATTCCATTAAGAAAGGTAACATCTTGTAAAGAGAAAATAGCTTTCCCATTGAGAAAAAGAGAATGTTATGCTTACCTAAATTTCATTCTAGTTAATAATTAAAAGCAAAAAAAAAAGTCTGTGTATGCTTATTAGCCTTCATATTGTGTTGACTCAGAAAAGTTTCAATCTCTCGTGCAGAAGACAGTGACTGTATCCCAAAACCAAGTTCTTCGCCAATGGCTTTTTTGATGTAATAGGCATTCATTTTGCCTGGATTAGCTGGAATATTATTTTCTTGTCTGTATCTGTGAACAGATTTTTCGTCTAATTCAAGAGATGTTTGAGATTGTAGAATGTCATGAATGGAGAAGCTAGTTCCATCGGGTGTGTTGACTGTGTCGGATCGCCACACATGGAAGAGCGTTTGTGAACGACCTTGGGATCTAGCGTTTTCCGGCGGACCTTAGCCTGTCCCTACTATCGCTAAATCTCTAGCCAATTAGTGACGACCTAATAGGCTTTATTGATACTCACGGACTAAATTCGACTATCTGTATACGCCATCTCTGGATTTTATTTAACCTCTGAGTCAAACAACGATTATGATTCGCTAGGAATTATTAACGAAAATCTGTCGACGCGTTAAACCAATTGAAATTCAATGAGTTCTGTGGTGGCAAGATCAAAAGCAATTTAATACTTAACCAGTGATCTATGGTTTGGGAATAAAATCAGGAAGATAACCAATATATTTAATATTCCAACACTTCGTTTATTAAAATATAAAAAACTATTCTAAAAGGACAAATATTCGAAAGAACTGAAGATAATGTTCAGAACAAACGATAGTAGCATAAATCTTGCTTTGATATCAAATGTATCCATCAGGTATTCTATAGCGAATGAATATAATCAACAGTTGATGACTAGATTAACCAGTCTATAGACGTAACGACAGACGCTCTTTTTTCAGGCATGCCTGATTTAATACTTCTATAAGGCAGAGCCTAAAAATGGTGTACACTGCTTGGAGGATCTGTTTATGCTATTAGGTGTATTGATTGTATAACTCTTGCTTCCACCAACAAACAGACTGGTACTCTTTGGTGTTGATCGTAATTTGGTGGATGATTGGCTTTTTGGTTGGCTTGACCACTGGGCATTTGCAGCGTTCCACTTTAAACCAGTTGCACGTTTAATGAAGTTAATATTCTTATTATATTTCTTAATCATCTGTGTAAGAAAATTTTCATTACTTCCAAGTGTTTTTTCTTGCATTTTTGATAACTTCTGTTTGTCTTGTCTGTCAGCTACTTTCATGATATTGGCAGCTTGTGTTGTGTATGCAGATTCGGGGTAACCGATGTGCCTCCTTGTAATAACATCCAACTCATAGCCGAAGCTAACTGAGCGTCTCCCAAAAAGACCATAATCCGAGATGATAGTCTAGTGCCTATAATTTTGTGGATGATTGGCCTAACAAGCATTTTTGACGGTCTGTCATGGGGGGAAAAATTAATTGATAAGTTGTGTCGTTGTTGAGCGTTAATAAGGGTTCGTCGTTTGAGGACTTGTTCGTGAGTTGTAGCAACTGTCGTATGCGTGTAATATGGAGGAGTGGCGACAAAGGTGTGTTGCGTTGTGTAGATAACGTTGTATTGCGCTTTTGAGGAAGAGGTTTTTATGAGCGCATTGGAGAGTAGCGTCTGGGTATGTATATATGTACACGTGTAGACAAATGAATGCTACCTTATAAGCATAAATATTGTATATTGTTGTTTACAGAGAAACCTCTCTAAGTGCACGCTCTCTAAATGCACACCCTCCCTAAATGCAGGTCCCGAGCTTGGATATTTGTATTCTGCACGTGCAATAATTTTCGGTCCTGTCCATATAATAATAAACTATATATGTAATCCCTAAATGCACGCACGTGATTGTTGTTTCTATTGACCAATTATATTATTAACATTCTCTTTGTAATTGAAATTTGAATCATTGTTGTTGTTCGTGGATGTGGTTGTTGTTCAAGATTGACGCCACAGATGTGAAATAATCATTAACAAGCTCAGAAAATGTACGTTTGTTTTTGTTACAACAGGAGGATAGACAAGATTTGTTAGTGGGGAAAAAAAGTAGTCAATAAAACAAACAACCATAAAATTAATTAAATAATAAATTGACCATATTATTATACAAATAACCATTCTCTCTAAATGCACACCCTCTCTAAATGCACACCCTCTTTAAATGCACACCCTCTCTAAATGCACACCCTCTTTAAATGCACACCCTCTCTAAATGCACACCCTCTCTAAATGCACACGATTGTCTGGCCCTAATGATATGCACTTAGAGAGGTTTCACTATAATTGTTTCCGTGACAGTAAATAAAAACAATAGTATCAATGTAACATATTAACAAGTCTGATAAGCACATGTATTAAACTGATCTATTTGACAATGATGACAAAAGCACTCATGCAATATGATATCGGCGTGACCCATGTCCCGTCGGTATTCTTGTCAAAGGTACTAGTGCAATTCGGAAGATAGTAAATCCACGCATGCTGACATCACCTTTTGTTTATAACCATGAGATCGACATATTATTCTGTGATGTAATCGGCAAGTCGCAGTAAATCGTCCGAAAATGTTAGGAAAAATTTTTTGTCGGTTTATTCTTTCGCGAACCTGTATAGCAAAAGGGATATTATTGACAAGTAAAACTATACATTTACTAATTGTTTGAAAGCAAGACGGCGCAGGATTGTTTCTACTGAAAAACACGAAGTGTATATTTTTAGCTTTTTTTTTTCTGCCCTCATTGGAATAATAAATGGAGGTAAAGAAGCTGTTTAACGTGTTTCTTACTCTCAATCTTACAAATGTGAAGACACAACGACCCAAGTTTGACGTTATTCATATTTGAAATACTTTATACATACTGTACGGTCATGCTCGCGCGTTGAATATGATTAGGAATTCTGCACGGGTCTTAATGCACTTCTGAATCAGTTAATCTTTAATGCAACAGATACCGCGACAATACGTGATGTAAGCCTTTATATATGATCGTTCTTGACACAAGTTTCAACTAATCTAAATTTAATACGTGTATTTTTATCCTCCCCCCACGAAAATGTAATTTGTTTTGTAAAGACAACAGCAACCCTTGATAAGCAATATTATAACAAACCTGAATGTATACCTGCCCTTGTAGAAATACTTTCAAAGTCTGAACATTGGCAGGCAAGTTGAAGACGCAGCTTATGGAACGAATGTTAGAACAAAGTATGACCGTTTTGTTAACGAATCTAATATGTTCAGGTTCGACAACTATCGGCTGTTGAATTGCGAAAATACACAAATCAATGGTGGTCAAAGCTCGATCAGCATACCATAGAGGGTATTAAGACAAGATTACTTGACGTCATATTGCAAGAACCTCAGTAAGCTTAATTTTTTTGATCAGAGGTCGTATATATAATTCTCTTGCTTATAATGATAATTTGTTCACAGTACCCTTGTTCGACATTCAACCGCACGGGCAATTTCAGCAATTGCCAATGGTGAAATTCCTGCTGGACAATGGGACAACTTGCTAGAGTTTTTGTATCAATGCTGTCAAAGTCCTAATGCGGGTCATCGTGAGGTAACAGACAACAATTGGATCGCAGTATATCGACCGCTTGAGTACATTGATCGAATCTGGTTTTTGACTTTGCACCTAGGTTGGAGTCTACGTCCTATACTCTCTATTTGAAGTAATCACAGACGTATTCAACGACCATCGGGGGCAACTATTCGAATTGTTTAGTAGGTCCTTGAATGACCCCGAAAGCAAAGACGTGAGAACTACTACATTACTGTGAGTAGTGTGAGAGTAATGTATGGTAGTCGGCATGGGCAATGAGCATAGGAATACGTTTTGGACGGTTGCATGTAGATGATAATAACTCAGATGTTAAATACTAATGCACACCGTCTACCACTTAATTACAGGGCTCTTGGTAAAATTGCCGAGTTCATTGAGATTGACGAAGTGGATGATATCGTAAGTCTAATTTTGATGTCAAATCATTTATGATCGCTGTCGGCTGATCAATTTATCAATTTGGGTCATCAGGCTCAATTTCAAAAATTAGTTCCATCAATGGTCAATGTGCTTCAACAAGCACTCGCCGAGAATGACGAAGATGCAGCAACAAAAGGGTTTGAACTGTTCGATACACTGGTTTTGCTTGTATGTTTACCGTGCATTTGTATAAGTGTTTTGATCGTGAATCAAATAACATGGCTGACCGTTTGTAAACAATTATAGGAAGCTCCACTATTGTCAAAACATATTGCACAATTGATCGAGTTCTTTTTGAACGTAGCTGGAAATCAACAGTATGAAGAGTCAATACGTATAATGGCCTTGCAATTTATGATTTGGGTTTCTACATAGTGAGTTGCTTCATTTGTGTACTGACTATTGTATAAAAGAAACTACCGATTGAATTATTAATCTTTGGACGCAATTACCTATTTAATGTAGTAAAAAGGCAAAAATTCAGCGTCTTAAGCTGGTCAGTCCAATCATTTCACGATTGATGCCGATAGGAACTGAGAATGACCCCGATGATGTAACCGAAGATTCTCCCTCAAGGGTATGTTTCTTTCGACTTCTAATTTATATGTCACGTCATTAGTTGATAATATCTCCATCTTTACTCTTGGTCATAAAAATTTTAGATGGCTTTTCGCGTAATCAATTCTATTTCGACGCAGCTTCCACCTCAACAAGTGTTTCCAGTAATCTTGGAGCATGTGGTTGCGTACATGCAGAATCATGATCCAACATATCGAAAGGCCGCAATGATGGCATTTGCTGTATGTATATAATACTCGGAAAACAGTTTCTTACCCTGCGAAACTCAACTCATGCTTTCCTCTTTACTTGTTTAGGTTTTTGTAGAGGGGTGTGCCGAATATATTCGGCCCAAGTTCAATGACTTACTGCCTCTCGTCGTTTCTGGCTTACAGGATCCAGAAACTACTGTCAGGAAAGCAGCCTGTATTGCTTTGAGCTGTTTTGCCAGTAAATATAATTTTTACTTTATGCTTTTTGCCTGAAAACAAGATACACTACTGTCTTTGTCATATAGCCAAGCCCGTGAGTTATCCTTTATCTAACTTTTTATATGATTTATTTTAGACGAACTTGATGAGGAAGTGACTGAGAATCACAAGACTTTGATGCCGCTAGTATTTAATCTTGTGGATGATCCAAATCCAGAAATTTCAAAACAAGCCTGTGGTGCATTAGATGCAATTCTTGAAGGCTTGGATGAAGAGATAATTGTCCCATATTTGCCTGCAGTGATGCAAAAATTATTAACACTAGCAGACTGTGTCTCTGGAGAGAGAGTTATTCCTGTGTTTGCTGCAATTGGTAGTGCAGCGCATTCAGCCAATGGGGTGATTATAATACAGTCCAGCGTTATTATAATTATATAATGCCTTTGTTATTCAATGTTCTCTGATTTAAACTTTTATCTTTATGCAGGAGTTTAAGCCATACTTTGCACAAACGCTTCCCAAATTGCAAGTATTAATGTCGAAATCAAAGACTGAGGAAGATCTAAAAATTCGCGGAGTTGCTACTGATACCCTTGGCGCTATTGCCGAAGCTGTTGGACGCGACGAATTCAAGGTATTCACACGAAAGCCATGATCTAATTATATATTACATACGATTTCTAAACATTCCTGTTTTATTGATTCCAATAGCCATACGTTGCAAACTTTATGCAGTTGGCAATTGATGGTTTGCAGCATGACCATCCCCAATTAAGAGAATGCAGCTACTGCTTCTTTTCAGTAATGGCTCGCGTGTTTGGTAGTGACTTTGCACCATATCTTGTAGTGATAATGCCACAATTGATAAAGAGCTGCCAGATTGAGGAAAAGGATTTGTTCGAAATTGAAGGTGAGTTTGTATGTTTTGAATACGTGGTGAGTGGACAGTGCGTGCTCAAATATTTTTTTAATTAAGTGCCTGACGAAGAAGACTTGGGTGAATCAGATGAAGAAGATGAAGCCTATACATTTAATCACGACATAATTGACGAAAAAGAGATTGCTGCTGAAGCGATTGGTGAAATATTTACCAATGCGAAATCAGATTTCTTACCATACGTTGAACCTTGTGTGAATGAGCTGAATAAACTAGGGACACATCATGCTGAAAGTGTAAGAAAAACGGCAGCACGGTCATTGTGTCGCTTTATGGTTACATTCTATGAAATGGCTAAGCTTCCGCCATGGGAACCTGGGCTTCCATTGGTAAGAAAGTAAACGTATTTGATACACATCGTTAGCTTGCACCGTGTATTCACACTGTTGTAAACAGAGAGTTCCAGTACATTCGAACGTGGAAACTATGGTTAAATATGCAATGTCTACTATTGTGGCCATTTGGGAAGATGAAGAGGCCAAGTAAGTAGCTGGAAGTTGGATTTTTTATCATGGCCCAAAATCTATTCTCAGACTGATGTGTTCAACACGTTAATAGTGAATTATGGCTTATCACATAAGCATCTAATTATGGATATGTATTCTAATCATTAGGTCTGTGGTCATTGAAATCTGTCAACAACTCGTTGTCGCGCTGAAAGAATGTGGCCCATGCATAATAGCTGAATGTAAGCCTTTTCTACATATTGTGTCTCTCGTTATGGATGTGCGTGTCTTATAAGACTAACCGTTGCGTTTTTTATAGGCGTGGACGAAGTTTCCAACATCACATTGAAGCTCTTTGAAAAAACGCATCCTTGTCAAACAGATCAGGGAGATGAAGATGGAGTTCTTGATGACGATGAAGAAGCAGAACTGGACGCCAAAGTAATTGACGTAGCATCGGATCTTGTTGCTGCAACAGCCTCAGTTATCGGACCAGAATTCTCGGAATACTTTAAAGTATTCTTACCACATATTAAAAAATACTATGTAAGTACGTCTGTTGGTCCTATACTGAAAGCGGCTATTTCAGTCGTTGACTTGCTGCATGTCATTATTATTTAATAGAAAAAATCAAGGCCCGTGTCAGACAGATCTATGGCAATTGGCTGTTTGAGTGAATGTGCTCTCGGATTGAAAGAAGGAATTACGCCATTCACTGAAGTGTGTATTAAAACACCTTGTGCATTTTTGCGCATAGGAGGATTAAATTATCTAACTTCTATATGTTAGGCGATATTACCATTGTTTTTGAAATCAATTAACGATGAAGCAGATGAAGTCCGAAGCAATGGTGCTTACGGTATTGGTCTTTTATGCCAATATTCAAAAGCGGACATGGTGTCGTAAGTTCAGAGAATGAAATTTATTCGTTTGTAGTGTATTCAACGAGTTGTGTTAATCTTTCAATTTAACTCACCAAATTTATGTCGGAATAGACACTATCCGGCCATACTCACGGCATTGCATTCATTATTTGGAGCTTCTTCATTTGTGAATATCGCGGATAATGCATGCGGGGCTGTGTCAAGGATGATTCTAGCTCATCCTGAAGCAGTGCCACTTGAGCAAGTAAGAAATTGGATATATTTGTTATTAAAGTGTATTTTGCGTTTGTTATCTAAAGAAGTTTTGGTTTTTGCGGGAGCAGGTTCTCCAAGTGTTGTTTTCAACGTTACCGCTTAAACAAGACTTTGAAGAGAATGAACCAATTTTCCAATGTATATTCCAACTATTTCGTGCAAATAATGCATTCGTAAGTTACTGTTTCAGTAATTGATGCTATAGTAGGGCTTCTTGCATTATTTATGATGACTAACTATCATTTACTTCATCGTAACAGGTATTCAATCAGTTACCGACTCTTCTAAATATATTTGCCAAAGTTCTTGGTCCGCCTGAAGGACAATTAAAAGAAAGCATACGCCATGAACTCATAGAATTGATAAAGGCATTGGCTAAACAATATCCAGAAATTATGAACAGACCTGACTTGGTCGCAGTTATGGCATAGCGAATTTAATACTTAGATGGAAATGCACTTTTAATAGTATAATATATCATGAATCAATAAAACAATTTCATTTATGAGGCCTTTACATCTATGTGTATTGTCTTTTCGAAATTCATGACGTTTGACCATTGTCACATTATTTTATCTCTTTAACACGTGCGCTCCCCAAATTACGTGCTAGCATCATATGATATCACTAGCAAAAGATTATGTTTCCTGAGCTTAAGAACCCATTGATAGTTTCCCACCATATTGGTAGATGCAAGATCACATGTTACCCTCCGGCGTTTGTATAATGATATATAACTATCTACCAAATACAGAGATTGATTTCCGTTTTAATCATCCATCCGTCAATTCTGTCTTTTTATACAGTATACATTAAGCAGTGTATTGTACTGATATGACTGCAGAAGTAACCGGAAACAGTTGTGGCTACAATCACAATGATAAAGCTTTTGAATGTGTGTTGTTGTACAGACTATCGAAAAATTAAAAATTTATTCTTATTAAAAATTTAATAATAAATGTCGATGAATGCAAAACGTAAGTATAGTATTGCAGATTGTGGCTATGACGGTAAACATAGAAGGCCTTGTATTAGGTAGATAAGGTTTTGCAAAATAGTTCTTTCATAGTTTCCCGATTTACTTTTTGCCGTGTACCAGCCAATAAACTCATTCTAATCGCTATAAATACTTTCATAGTGTAAACACACATGTAGTAGCGTTTCACTAGCATTTTTGTACGATCTGCTCTTCACGATGTATATATAGCACTCTTACACTCGATATGTATTATTGTTTTCAAAAACGACCCGAAGTGGCAGCAATATAATAAGAAATGAGTAAACAAAAGTTTGCATATAATATCGATACGAGTTATTATTATGGTAATGGAACCACATTTGAAAGAAAAGCTCAGTTGTTTCAAAATGCATCAATGCATGCAAATACATTATTTGCTCTTGCACCATGTTATAAAAATGTAACTACAAGCAATCCAAAAGCAGACGTGCAAAGATATGCCAATGCTTTATTTAATCTTGCGTTGAGCTGTAAAAACGAAACTGGAAATGATCAAAAGGTTGTTGAGTTATTTCAAAAAGCTGCTGAACAGGGGCATGCCAGGGCACAATTTAATCTTGCTTCTTGCTATAAGAATGGAATTGGAGTAAAAAAAAATGATCAAAAAGCAGCTGAGCTGTTTCAATTAGCCGCTGAAAAGGGACATGCTAGAGCACAATATAATCTTGCATTATGCTATAAGAATGGATGTGGTGTGGAAATAGATGATCACAAAGCATTTGAGTTTTACCAAAAAGCTGCTGAACAAGGGTATAGCAGAGCACAATGTAATCTTGGTGTGTGTTATGAAAATGGTACTGGGGTAGAAAAAAATTATCAAAAGGCAGTTGAATTCTATCAAAAAGCAGCCGAGCAAGGACATGCTCGAGCACAATGCAACCTTGGTTTATGTTATCAAAATGGAACTGGAATAGAAAAAGATAGCCAAAAAGCATTTCAACTTTATCAACAAGCTGCTGAACAAGGATATGCTAGTGCACAATACAACCTTGCTTTATGTTATAAACATAGTATTGGAACAGTTAAAAATGATCATGAAGCAATTAAATTATATCAAAAAGCTGCTGCTCAAGGAGATGCTGATGCACAGTACAATCTTGCTCTGTGTTATAAATCTGGAATTGGCATAGAAAAAAAAGATGAGTTTGCAGTTGAATTGTATCAAAAGGCAGCTGAGCAAGGACTTTTGAAAGCACAATACAATCTTGCTTTATGTTATGAAAATGGAACAGGAGTGGAAATAAATGTCTTGAAGGCAGTTGAATTATATCAAAAGGCAGCTGAACATGGACATGCAAATGCACAATACAATCTTGCTTTATGTTTTGAAAATGGAACTGGAGTAGTAAGAGATTATCAGAAGGCAGTTGAGTTATATCAAAAAGCAGCTAATCAAGGACATGCTTGTGCACAGCATAATCTTGGCATTTGTTATCAATATGGAACTGGAATACAGAAAGATGATCAAAAAGCAGTTGTATTTTATCAAAAAGCTGTTGAACAAGGTAATGCTAATGCACAATATGATTTTGCATTGTGCTATAAATATGGAATTGGAGTAGAAAAGGATGTCCAAAAAGAAGTTGAACTGTATCAAAGAGCAGCTGATCAGGGAATTATTGAGGCACAATACAATCTTGCTTTTTGTTATAAATATAAAATTGGAGTAGAAAAAGATGATGAAAAAGCATATAAATTATTCCAAAAAGCTGCTGAACAGGGTGATGCCAATGCACAATATAATCTTGCTTTATTTTATAAATATGGAATTGTAACACAACAGGATGACAAAATGGCAGTCCAATTTTATCAACAAGCTGCTAAGCAAGGGCATGCCAAGGCACAACACAACCTAGCTTTATGTTATAAATATGGAACAGGAGTAGCCAAAGATAACCAAAAGGCAATTGAACTGTTTCAAAAAGCAGCTGAACAAGGGCATAACAGGGCACAGCATTATCTTCTTTAATGTTAACAAAATGAAGACATATTATTCCAACTATAGAAAATTGATGTATTAATATATAATGACCTTGAGGTTTTAGTTCCGTCCCAGCCTTAACTTTTAGGAATTTTTTAGAATAGTTGTCTGTTTGAGCTTGGGTCTGAGGACTGTCTTGCTGACAGCAATCCTGGTTTACAATAGAACTATCTTTAACTTTGTCCCTTTATTGTAAGGTCGTTTATCTAATGGAAAGAGACTGAGAACTAATGTGTGACTCTAAACATACATGTACAATTCTAATTTATTACAGCCATTTACAGTTACAATAAAAATCAATATCATCTCAGTGAGAGATTTATTATTTTTGTTAAATATAAAGTCTTCCATTGCATTGTTGTGATGCTTTTCAATAGGCTTTCAGTTTATTCTACTTACTCATAAACTTCGACACCATATCTTAGATGATTTTGGAATATTCAAACATGATGAAACGAGAAGCAATTTTTGCATATTATAATTAGTCAATGTTATTACTATTTATTATTATGTGATGTCTTAAATAATAACGATAAAGATGTGTGTAACATGTCCTTTTATCAGGTATTAAACTTACCCCGATTACAACATATAAAGTTCATAGTGATTTTATTGCGTTGAATTTCAGGCATTACAATACTCATATATGATTGACAAATATTTATAGATTATAAAGAAATGAAAAGAAGCGATGTACTCATTATTGTTTCAAATAAAATATAGAAGCAAGCCAAAAGTGAAAGTAGTAATGAAGTCTTTTTGTTAGACTCTTTTTATCAAAGAATGTTATACCAAATACATCATCACACACACAGTAAGGGTGACAAAAAGCAACTACGAGTGTTTGTTTAAAATAAAACATTATGTGTAACAGAACAATTTAGCTGTTTACAGCAACTTCTTAGCATCGGGAATTAATATAGCGGTGATGAAACAGTTCTTACTATTACGAATGTCATTAATTAATTGTACCGATTATATTCTTTAATTCGTTTTTGCCAAAAAAAGGTTGAGTAATCGGCATTTCAACTGACGAAGACATACTTGAAATAATTTCTGTTCAAAAAAAACGACATGATTCCTTGGATTCTTGGAAAGCTCAACGTACGTCCTCCGCAAGTTAGTACAGACATTGAAAATACGAGATAAACGGTTGTTTTTCTTTTACGTCTTGAGGAATATTTACTTTACGATAACAAAGCTCAATAATAAGGTTCATTCTGTACGCTGAAAGAAACCAGATACATATTGTATTACTAAAATAATTCCATTTAAGGAAACACCACATGATTACGTTGTCGGGATTGTGAACACGTTAAACCTCCGCTTGCGTAAACATCGATTGGACTTGCTGACCTTGAAAAAATATAATACGTATGTTTGAATGCTGTGATGACTGATTGAACGTCTGTCTCATTGTCGATGAGATTAGTAAACCAGTGAAGTGCATTTACTCCGTCAGTTTCAGATTCTTTGCATCAACATTTGGCATTATACGTAAGAAAAGGAACAAAGAACCGTAATACAACAACGCAAACAGTAGGTCAACATTCCCTTCAAGCCGTATTCGGCATTGTAGTATTTTGAACGTTGAAGAATGCTAACCGACAAAGAATTTCTAATTTATTTGAAATTCATCGTAGGCACAGTAGACATATTGTCAAGACAAACCATTTACGTTTGTACGAGGATAAACGTAATGTGAACGCAATATATATAGTAGCTGCGTATATATGCATGTTTATATGTTTATGCGTATATTTATGAAGTCATATGATTAATTTACTTGTCAGATGACACTCAACGTACATTTTGTGGTACCATACCCATCCAAAAGTACAATCGCTGTGCCACAGAGGAATATAAACGTTACAAATTTTACGCCTTCATTTGGAAAAACAATAAACAGTGTTACCAGTTATAAGCTGGAGTAGCAACCTTATCCGGTCAAATACATTTCAAGGGAGAAATTGATAAGTTGACTGACAATCGCACAAAAATCAATTATTTAAGAGATCAAAATCTTTGCCTGCATCATATCAAAAATATGCAAAAATTTTTCTGCTTTCACAATAAGGCTAAATCAAAGCCGAAGGCCAAAGATGCTGAGGCCAACTCTGATTCCACCACGGCTACTCTCGTCGCTTCAGCGCTCATATCAGATTTAGAGAAACAAAATCATCCCGAAATATCGTCAAAGCGTTACATCGATGATGCCGAGTCGAAAAATGGCGCTACCGTGGTCTCATCATCACTAATACCCGATTTAGAAAAGCTGAATCTTCCAGAAGAACGTCTGAAACGGTACATCGATGAAGTGGAAGCAAAGGAATCACATTCCGACTCCGATCTAGAATTAAGAAATAAAGCTGCTGCGTTGCGAGAGAATGCCATCTCCAAGACACTCAACAAAATAAAGCGCTCGATGGAAGTTGATCTTTGTTTTGTTTTAGACTGCACGAGCTCCATGTATGGTCACATTGCTGCTGCTAAAGATTGCATCTTGCAGGTAGTAAACTACGTAAAGAGTACAAATCCTAGTATCAAAATCTGTGTTGGCTTTTGCGGTTATCGTGATCACTGTGATGGACGCAAACGTCTGCAAATTCTTGATTTTACCAGCTCCTACGAGAAATTTAGAGCCTACTTGTCTCACGTACCAGCAACAGGGGGCGGTGACACACCAGAAGATGTCCTCGGCGGTCTTAATGCAGCTATAACTAAACTGAGCTGGCGACATGGGACTCGCATTCTTCTTCACATCGGTGATTGTCCACCGCACGGTCGGCGCTATCATGCTGTGGATGATACCTACCCAGATGGCGACCCGCATGGCTTGACAGCGGAAAGCGTACTCACGGAGATGCAAATAGAAAATATTCTTTATTTCTTCGGAAAGGTTACAGACCAGACAGACACAATGATTGAAGTCTTCCGTAGCATAATTGGTGAATTTCCGGTATTTGATCTGGTGGGTGGAGATCCGATCACATTAATCGACAGACTTTATAAAGCCGCTTGTTCAGCCATTACCAGTTCTGTCACACTTACTAGTACGATAGGAAGCGATATCAAAAATGTATACTCAATGCGGAAGAAAAGACTCGAGATGAATCCGAATGAACCAGATTGGAATGAATCAGTGTCACATACAGGGGTGGTGCTGTGGTACCGTACTCCCAAAACGGTGGGCGAGCTTAAACATCACGGATATTTCAACAAGTCAAACCTCTTTTCTCGAAATTTCTCTTTCAAGATGTCTGCAGAGCCATTTTCAGCTGGTGCCGAGAGATATGCATACTTTGGTATGGACACGAAAAGTGAACCAAACCGAAAAGTCGTGATAAAAGAATATCTTAGCCTTAAACAACATACAAATCTCATTGAAAAATATCTTGAAGCAGTGGAAGTCTCTACGGTCGCGCATTATCTTTCCGTCAAATTCAATTTAGCCATAAAGCGAATGGACGTTAAAAAAGTAAATTTTCTTGAAGTAAAGCTGTTGCGTAGTACTATCGACTTTAAGACTCAGTACTATGCAGTAGAGCCGAGGCTTCAAGATGCAGAATTTAAGAGATTCAATGTGAACAGTGGTGTGATTGTGGAACTTCGTCCTTCTCTCGAAGCATTTGCCCATTTCACGTACGAGTACACCAACAAATATTTGGTAGTTTATGATCTTCAAGGAGTAGAGCTGTCCGATGAGTTTTTCTTAACGGATCCTGCAATACATTGTGTTGATCCATTAAGATTCGGAAAAACAAATCTTGGTGTAAAGGGAATTACCAATTGCTTTCTTGCAAATCATAAATGTAATGACATTTGTAAAAAGTTGGGCTTAAGCCGCTGAGTTATTTGTATATAATCTGTATTTGCAAATTAGTAAATATAATAAATAATGCTTGAATAGCTTACATAAATGGATTACTCGCTTAAGGTTATTGATATGCACACATGTCATTGCATGCATAAATAGCACTGTAACACAACCGTCCCGTAACATCACTTTGTTTGATCGTAGACATACAGCAGCGCGAATAAATAATTTAGAATCCCTCTGACTATAAATTCATGCAATTCGACACAAAACGACGATAAAATGACATCGGCTTCTACCGCTTTACGAAAGCCTAGAGTTAATAAATAAATATCTTATTACGAAACTTATTAATAGTCGACGTACTATTGTGTCTATACATAAGCTGCGATTACAACGTACAGATTTATAAAGGAATAGAGTAAGACTTTGAAAAGTCGCTCCAATAATGTTTACGTAATAAACTGCACGCAAAAAATGCTATCAAACAGTACGAATTATATGCACGACTTCTTAAGTTTCGCTCCCTCCAGAAGAATTCTTCCAGAACCCAGACACTCGGTCAAGAACCCAGTTGTCTCAGTCCAGAACTGAGACAGGTCCCAACTGAGGTATAACTATACGTTGAGATCCAGAGATTTGGCTCGCTATAATTGAATTTTGACTTTCGAGCCTTTACCATTGTCGAAAACATTTTATACATGGTAAACCAAACGAGTTATTTGATAGATACGAAGACAGCTGAATTCAAGAGTTAAGGGATTTAAAGCTGTAATTTGGTTAAATCTGACACGATTATCGTCGAGATGTTTTTCAACTCACTGTTTTTAGCCAAGCCGTAGCCGCTTGCAGATAGATACATAGTGCTTTATAATATTAATATTAAGCTAGTCTTCATTTTATTTCAACTTGTATGGTATTAACCGTAGTGATCAATTTCATATGATTTAGCACGTTACATATGATATTTTAGTATGGCTCTTTGGATGGGCAATTTAGGTTAATTATTGAAAAAAGAGGTTGCGTAATACGATACTGCGCGGTATATCAACCAATTTTATCATTTTTTGGGGCGGGATCGCCTCACATGGAATCGAAATGTCTTATTAGTAACGGCCCGATATACGCATATATAAAAAAGCTCAGGAAGCAATTCAACATGTAGTAACTTCACTACAGAATTCTGAAAAACGCTCCCATGGCAGTTCCTCAGGCTACAAAAGAATGGATTACTGCGGAAGACGGCGAGAAAATATACACAAAGAAATGGCTGGTAAATATAAAATTGTCGTTGTGGAAAAACTCCGTCCTCTCTTTCTGCGCTAAATTTTGCGCATGTTATAATAGCCTGCAAACGGATCACCGGTAGCAACTGTGGTCTTCTGCCATGGTTTCGGTGAACACATAAATCGCTACTGCCACGTATTTGAAAAGTTTGCCGAAGCTGGAATAGAAGTATATGGTTATGACCAACGAGGATTTGGTCGTACTGGCAAAAAAAATAATAATCTCGGTGTCACTGGCGGATGGGGTATTTCCTGTTCAGACATTACTGATGCACTTAGGAAACAACGTAAACAAGGAATTCCTCAGTTTCTTATGGGTCATAGTATGGTAAGTAGCCTGCGTGTCTCTTTATTAGAGAATGTTTGGTTTGAATTAACATCACCACGACTAATTATTAATCTAATAGGGTGGCGGCCTTGTGCTTCACTATGCAACAGTGGGAATGGAAAGAAACAATATATCTGGCGTCATTGCATGCTCCCCGTGGCTGGATCAGCCTCCTGCAATAAGAGCAGGATGGATGCAAATGTGGTTGGGTGATATTGGGTCAATCCTCATGCCGAACAGGACCGTATCCCTTTCTGTTGATGCAAAAGGAATCAGTCATGTCCCTGAAGTAATAGAGAAATATAAAAATGACAAACTTAACATTTCAAAGCTAGCGATTTCTGGAGGTATGTTCGACACGCATGTCATGTAGGAACCCGATGTGGTTAGTCACAAATATGATATAAAACTTCTATTTAGTGATGGAGATTTTACACAATGGTCGGAAAATACGCGATACGGATTATATTAATTTGACACAGCCTCTTCTGATGGCGCATGGGACTGATGATCCAATAACATGTTTTCACGCTTCAAAGGAACTTTTTGATAAAGCTCCATCAACTGACAAGAAATTTGAGCCATGGAAAGGACTATATCATGAACGTAAGTAGGCTATTCTCAACAAACTCTCAACAACAGTATTTGTTTCTAATTTCTAAAACATTGTGCTGTTACAGTTCACAACGAACATCAACAAGATCAAGTGATCAAATTATACATTAACTGGATATTAGAACGCGCTGGAAAGAGTAATTGAGTAATAATTGGTGCTATCGGGAATACAACACAATGGTGGGTAATATATTAAGAGACTAGCGAATGTCATTAATATCAACAATTAACCAGTTACATTTAATATTCTACAGATCCTGTTATCGCGAACTCGATCACATTATTATTATCATATACATTTATTCAAATTTTTGATTTTTTCCCCTCTATTATAAATAGCAATATATTTATTGTTAAGAGTTTTTTATCTGTTTTCTTTGTTATCGACTTCAAATTGTTATTTATTATTATTATATATACTAATGAGATTATAGCATCTGATTAAGTTTTAAATATAATAAAAACTTTGGTTAATATTCGTGTAGGATAGTTTGTGTGAATTCAGGTTGGTTCAATTGTCCTTAATTTCTAGCCGTCGGAGTTATTTACTTGTGCAGTTCTCATGTACGAGCTAATACTATTATTATATCGGTTTTTTGCTCAGATTAATAACAACGACGTTCCGGTGGAGAAGTTGTACTTTATCACTGCGTTTTCAAAACTTTCTCGATTACTAATCTAGAGAACCCAATGTTTAGTTTATTAACGTTATTACGTTAAAATGTTTGCATGTTTATGAAACATGAATTCCATATATCAAAACTAGCAAAAACTTGTAGTTTAATTTGGCTGCGTGCGGGTAAGTAAGTATAACGTGCGACAGTGAAAATTTTTATAATAATTTCAGCAATATAGATCATAGCCAGCCTTTAATTGAAATAAATAGAAGACGAATTAGCAATTGGTAAAATAATTCACAGTATGAAATATTTTGTAGTGTGTAATAGAACCAAATGCATGAAGAATGTTTATAGACGAGTTTGTCTGATGATGTTATTATTAGCTAAACGGTTTACATTCCACTGCTTACATTAAAAATTCTGTCTGCATATTCACAATCAATGCAGAAGTTATGTCAGATACAGTATACATTGATTATGTCTACTGTTGCAGTCAGGTCAGTTATCTTCATGAGTCATTCTACATACCAAGAGCTAAACATGAAGTGACTGATGCATCGGCCATAATGCTTACAATAAGAGTTTACTTTTTTAATTCCTCTGAGAAACCATAAAAGAGCTGTATTTTTTCCTAACGTGTGTAGTGTTCCGCGTTGAACTTTACTGGCTTTCTTCCCGTAGCATCATAGGCAAATGGAGCTCGCCTTAAAATAGTGAATTAATTTGTTCCAGGACCGTAAATTCGCAAGTTCCACAACCGTAAAATAAGTAAGAAGCTTCGATTTAACGGCATGGCAGTATAAATGTGTGATGCGGGTGTACCTGAGTAGAATAATTCTGACAGAATAGCTTAGTATCTTAATCACATGAAAAGCGTAAAAACCGAATATTTGTTAAAATAGAAATAATCAATTAAACAGGTTGGAAGTTTAAGGTTTTCCCAAAAATAGGGTCTGGCTAAAGCGGAGTAGTTTGTACACCAGAAATTATAATTTTATTGGTTGACATACAGTTTAATCCTGCTTTTAGTCTAGCCCCAAATCTGCTCATAGTGGTTTTTGGAAAAGCAATTCTTATATTGTTCACAGCCAGCAAATCCAAAAAGTGAAAATATATAACCGAAACCTTAAGAAATTGTACATAAGTACTGACGTAGATACTGTAAGGGAGATAGAGTTTTTGATTATAATGGATGATATTTAGAGATTAGTTTTTTAGATTAAAGTTAGTAATATATCTGCAGACCATCTACGCCCGCCGATATGTGCTCGGGCAGTTGGGAAAACGAGAATAATAGTAAGGGAGGTTATTTGAATTTCTTGACTATTTGAGCCATTTTTTTCTGCTCTCGGTTGTAAGAGAGCGCTAATTATTACAATGAAATGTAGATGTTAAAGGTATTGGAACTAGGCAAATACCGGTTATTAGAATCGGTCCTTATGATTATAGTCAAGAAATCCAGCACACTTTTCCAACACTTTTAAAATTCCGGTCTTTTGAATAGTATAATGATCGCTTGGTAAGAAGGAGAGAAGGAAGTTTTTTTCTAACTCAAACAATGCAATAAAAAGCAGGCCATAACGGCGGTGATACCGTTTTATTTAGGGCAAATGTATACGTCTTTTCTTTTTATTTAATCAGTCATCGACAGTTAGACAAATTCAACAAATATCAGCATTGTACTTCTGTCGTTAAAACAAACATACGATTTTATTTCGTGAACGTGAAATGTCGTACTATTTGTCTGTCGTGCTATTTGTTAGATTATCTGTTAGAATAATTACGTTTATTGCATTTGCCAATTGAAAGTTTAATCTAACAAGGATATTAGATATGGACGTAAATTTGCGTCCTGTAAAGGATTCATCTAATATTAGCATTGTCCTGAAAGTATACACCCGAAGCTGAACGAGAAGCTAAATTGTGGGATTGGCTGTTGGGAACTGAACAGCTTGACCTAACAATCAATCAAATCGATCTTAACCCGAACCAGATGTTCATCGTACAATAATTTTAATAAAGTTATATGTCACTGACTTGATCGGTTATACATAGAATATAAAGTCGAAACAAATGCATATTGCGTTAGAACTATACGTTTATTTCAGCCTAATATGTAGATTCTAATATGAAATAAAAAACGACTAGCTATACATGAGTAATGAAGATCCTTACGATCAATGCGTTTAATAAATATCTTGTATGTTCGCTGAGTTTTTCTTTTCCTTTTTTTGAAGTCTAGTACAAGTCACTATAACAATAATATGACGTCCGGAATTTTCGCTGGTCATAATCATGATGATCACCTTATATTATATATGGGAATATACTGTGCGACGTTAAAAGTGTTGGAAAAGTGTGTTGGATTTCTTGACTATAATGTCCTTATGCATTACAAAGTCATGAACGCAAGATGTGACACAGAATGAATTTAATAAATGCAATGTTATTAATCTAGAGAATATCACTTTCAATCATATATATGATTATAATTAGTACTCGGGCTAACAATAACAATCAACAAATGATCTGCACAAATATTCGGGGTTCGAATTCGAAATCCAGCCCCTATCACTATATTAATCAACTTTAAACTGTTGTAGTGAATTGTTTTACTAATGTACTTGAGGTAAGATACGTAGAAAAATCTTATTTTGTGTAACCAGGCCATTAATCTAAAATAACGTTTTATCTCTCCTTGATAGCGCATTCATCGATAGACACAATTCATCTTCAGGCTAGGAGCTTTTTCGAATGCATATACAATGTCCATACTTCTCATACATGAAGTTTTTTTCTTGCTGATCACTTTCAATAGTAATAGTAAAGGCAAATCGCTAAAAAAGCAGGCTACGCTACACTCATAGACTGCAACACCTGACTATAAAACGCCACTATTTTTTGATTTTGCTATAAAAAAGGGATAAAAAGTTTTACATATGCAAACTTATGATTTTATATTCAAAATTTGAAATTTACTGTTGAACCTTGCCCCTTGTTAATTTCTTAAACGATTTATTTCTTTTTCTTGCTCCCCATTAATCTCTCGAATGCCGAAATTTATGGCGGCTTAGCAAAGTCCTGAGATTTAGGCCCTTATGGAGCAGAATTAAAAAGAAATTTAAAAAATCTCTGGTGAAGGTATTTTATCACCTCTAGTCCTTATAATATTGGCTGCGATAGTCAAGTAATTACCCATCCTCAAGTTTTCCGCACAAGAGTCGATTTACCCAAAAGAATGCACGTTAAAATTTTGATCCTTAGTGAAAATGTCTAAGTTTTAGATTTTTTTTCAAGTAAACTAATTTAATCAGGGGTAGAGAAAATAGATTTCCGAGACTAGAAACTGGTTTATATTTTTATACCGCAATAACTTTCAAAGAAAGCGAGGAACAACGACAAACAGAGTTACAACATGCCAAAAACGAAATCGCAAGAAAAAATGACGAAGTGGTTAGTAGTTCCATCCTTAAGCCAAAATACTAACTTATACTTTTCCTCTCCAAACGGAATTCTTTTTAAAACATAATGGTCTCTTTTCCAGGTCGGTTTTTTCTTAGGTTCTGGTTCAGCATCCTTTCCGTTTAATTTTTCTTTAAAAATACTTAAAATTAGTTCTTTGGTAATTCCCTCTCTGCCTTTTTTATCTTTCCAAGTGTAGTCGGTAATGGTTAAGTAGTTAATTTCCAGTTCGTTAAAAGTAAAGTTAAAGTTGATGGAGTAAGTTCAGCGTCATTCGTTATCAATTTCCTTTTCCTCAATTAAACTAAACAGTTCGGACATGTATTTTTTTATCAATTTCTTTAATGGTGATTTTTACTTCACAAGGAGAAAACAATTTATTGGTATAATCCATTAGTCGGTCCAAAGTAAAATGTTCCAGACGACAGTATAAAATGTCTTCAGTTTCCGCTTGGCTTAACTGGATTTTTTTAGCAAATTCCTCGGTGGTTAATTTATTATTTCGCTTATATCTGATTACTTTTTGACAAATCTCGTATTTAGCCTGTTCCAAAGGGGTAGGATTTTCGGGCAAAGTCCAAGAACCTCCCTGATAATTAGGGTCTTCTAACTCCTCTAAATATTTTTGATATTCCTCTTTTTGAGAAAGTTCCTCGGAAAGAGTGTGTTTTTTTTTTATTACTCTTCATATCTATTAACTATTTTTTATAGTTTTCTAATTCGGTTTGTACTTTTTTTTTTTGCTCTTGGTAATAAATTAATTTCTTTTTTTCTTCTGCTACTAATTGAGGAGGTGCTTTTTTGAGAAAATCACTGTTTGCTAGTAGTCTTTTACTTCTTTGACATTCTGATTCGTATAGTTTTAATTGCTTTTCTAAATCTTTTTTATCAATTTTTTCACGATATCATAAAATTCCAAAAGGTTGTAAAAAGTGTCACTTACGAATATGTTTAATTTTATACAGTAATAAAGCTACTGTATATATATTTATTGTGATGCTAAAGTCCACATGTTTGATTTCTATTACCTAATTGTCGTGGGCCCATTATCTGAAATTATGTTTATTGTCACAGATACATATTACCTTTTCAGAGAAGCAAACTATCATAACCACCCATGAATAGCCCAATTTAGTAATATTCGGCGAAATTGGACAATAAGTACATAGTAAAACTCGATAAGTCGGGGTGGGCATGGTTGTCCGACTTATCGAGGAATCCGAGTTTATCGAGGGACCAATAGGATTCATCGTAACATAATTTCCTTTAATGTTATATTTCAGTATTTATAAGATTATCGGTTATTCAATACAGCAATAACGTAAATTTTATTTTAATAAACAGATAAAGAACGAAAGATTGTTATTACTATCGCTTGTTTAAACAAATGTTCCTTCCGCATTCATAATTATTTATAGCTTTAACTTTGGTCTTTATTAAAGAATTCTGAAGGCTGGGACATTAGCCTTTTTCTGAAATAAATAAACACGTTGTTTCGAAATGCAAATAATCGTAGAATGATATCATCAATGAATATCTTATGACGTATAATACATTACAAGAACGTCTTTCTAAATCGTCAAATAAAATAGCAAAATCATCAATGACATAACGAGGTACAAACATTTTCTTTAAATTACACATAGCAAAAATCTTCTGCCGATCTTTGTGTAATCACGTGAATCCGACTTACCCGAGAGTCATTTTAAATATGAAAAAAGGGGTGAGAGATTTTGTCCGACTTAAGCCAAATCCGACTTATTGAGTATAGCACAGTCATCTCTACTTTTGCACGGACCGATGTCTTATAAAATGATTATCTGTGCTTTGCCATTTTCAACCACCATAAATGATCAATATAAAGGGAGCGAATGAAGTGATCGTCAAATCCGGAATTAGCTCTGCATAAATCTGCCAATCAGAAATTACGATAGGTAAACTAGATAAGTATTATACGTACAAAGCCTATCTAACATTTCAATATTGTTATAGCTCTTACTAAACTTCAAACTTGGCGCTGACTATTTAAAGAGTCTGTGCACACTGTAGTTCAAATATCGATGTTCCAAAACTAACATCGGGTTTGGAATGTTCAATAACTTTGTTCCAATCAAGAGATTGACAATCTCGGTGGAATTTCCTGATTTAGCGTTGAATTTATATTTAATATTAGTCATATACTCAATATACTCTTCATCAATTATACTATCAAAACCACATGCTGTTAATCAACACCAGGCATACTCTTCGTCATATTTTCTCATTGGGAATTACCATAATAAGTATTCCGTTGAGAACTGTTGTTTCAGAATTTCAGGATCAGCACGCTGTATGTATATATATATGACATTTGTATGGACAAAGTTTCAGGAAAAGAATTTTATTTTACAATGAAGTACTTCATCTGGTTTATTGTTATTGCACTTTACGCGTTACCTCTCACTCAAGGTAAACTTTTTTTTTAATTTTTACCTTTTCTTTTTCCCACTAATTATTTGACGCTTTTTATTGGTAGCTGAACTCCACAAACGTCCCAATGAGGGTGGTGGTGGTTGTGGCGGTGGTGACTGTTGTAATTGCAAGTAAAGAGTAAGTATTTATAAAATACGCAAAATTTTTTTATTCTTTATTAGTTTTTGATGGTCTCTTGTATTTGAAAACAGCAGAACAATACCTTAGCGACATCAACAGCACAACAGCGACGATGATGGCGACTAATAGCGACATCGATTATAAATGATGGTTGCATTGTTTAACTAGATTATGAATTTGCCTGGCTTCGTCAGGCAAGCTTGATATTAGTATTTTTATTATTTTCATGCAAAAATGAACATTGTTTTCCTCTTGCTTTAATTATTATAATAAAGGTAATTGTAACATTCGACATTGAATGAAATATTGACTTTACAACCGTCTCGCTGAAGATGGAAAACAATGGATGAATGTATTAAAAAGAAAATATTCAACGTCAAAGTACATTTCAAGTAACTCAAAATTGGCCCGTGGTCAAAGAAAGCCCCCGACTATTCAAAAATAATAACGAAGAAAAAGTTGGACAGTCGACAAATGGATGAAGAAATCTTAAGAAGGATAGATTTAAGAATTACGGAAGAGGAGGGATAGACAGTCTCATCTATTTTATTTTCTAATTGTTTAATTGCTTTTTATATAATAACTTTAAATAAAGGTTATTTTCATTCGTAAACTATGCCTTTTAGTTTATGTTTTAGCATCTCTCAAGTATTGGACATTTACAACCCAGGCTACGTTGCAATACATCGTTAAGTATGCCACTTTAAACATTGTAACAATTTGTTGTTTTGCTTTGCTAGACGAATCCTCTCGACTCACCAACCAAGATTATGTGTGGGTATTTCTGACGAAATAAATACCAATCAGTTGAAATGTGAGTGAGCAAGTTTGAGTTCACGATCCTATATCTAGCAGGTTTGTTTTTAATAACAATTACGCAGTTATAGTCATATGATTACAAGGGTAGCTAGTGATCGACGGATAGTTAAATTATTATGTTTTACAATCAATCAAGAATCAAGTGTATTCGGTTCAAACAGCTACAGCTGTAGCTTGTAGGGGATAATTTCACATGTTTTGCTCATTGATATTTTCAACAACCCGTTGTCGTTAGTATTCTCAATGTTGGAATGTCCTTATTATTTATTTCCATTTGCTCAAGTTCACAAATTACTCCTCGGATGTTGTGCAAACACAAGACGGCATGGTGAATCATTAATGGCTTGATAAACTGTGTATTTATTGCCACTATAAGTACGTATGTAATTAATTATAACACATATTTTTTAATCATTAAAGATTGTTTACATACAGCATCACAAGCAGATAATTTTAGCCACAAACTTCTTGTCACGGACTGCAAGATTGTTAGGAGACCCAAAATTTGGAAAGAAAACCTACGACGTATATAGCTTGTTTTTCGAGGCGGTTACCCATGAAAATTGTGTAACATGGTCTCTTCGTATGTAATGCATTTGTATTCACTATTTTGACGACTTCTCATATCAATAAGATCGACCTGTGTTTCATTGTAAAAAGAGAAAAGATAGTTAGCTATTTTTACTTATACACAGCCTAGGAATTCGTTTGCTATGATAAGTCTTGCCGATCTGTCTTTCTGAGCGGACGTCTAGTTATCAATTACTACTTGTACTCACAAACTTGACAACTAGTATTCAAGGGACGTAGCTGTATTGCCGATTATCTACAAATTGAAATAAGTATTATGTGGAATTATTTATTAAGAATTGCTTGGCATTTATAAATCCGTTAGATTCCATATCACTATAATCGAGTAAGTGCATATATATATACTGAGGACTACGCTTGAATATCAATAAGTAGAACATTGCGAGTAGTTGCTCTTCCCCTTAATTTTTTTGTACCTTCAAAAAACAGAAGGTAGGATGTAATTAGAATAAAGTTCACTTACTCTCGTATCTCTTTATTAGGGTTTTTGTTGAGGATATTGAGGATATTTTTAACAATTTTCCCAAAATTGCTTCGCAAAGGCCTTCTGGATCAAGGGTCGTCTTCCAAGTAGTTTCTTCCATTTTTAATCAGCTGTCTAACTGTGCATAATATTAGTGCATTATGTGTACAAGACTTCATTAATATTGCATTAATTTTACTAACATCTATCGCGTCTGGCCATTTCAACAGATTTGTAGAAATCGGTATTGTTCATGTGAAATTCGAGCCAGTGGTTTCGATGAACAAACTTTGAACAAAGATATCTCAACAACCGTCTATTTACAACAATGATTTGGTTTGAAGATCAGAACTTGAGCTTTTATTTGATTAGTAAGCCCGTAAAACGGGAGGCATGTGGCAAGAACTTTTTGATCCTCTCGGATTGTAACTTATTGAAGCCGGCGCTCATCCAGCACGTCATGTATGACACAGATTATATCATCGTATTCTCTTTAACACACGCAGAGTTTTTTACATTCTTTAGTAATTTCGCCAATATGCATCACAGTGAATGTATGCTGTATCCAGTGTTTAAACTTCGGATTTGCACCCACATTTGAACCATCAAGAATTTCGATTGCCTGGATTGCAATTTTCTATGCAGTTGAAGACCTATGGAATTGCAATGAGAGAAAACCAATTCATAGTATTAAAGATCAACAAAATTAAGTGCTCTTTCACATTTCTCCTCCTAGTGTAGTAGAACTCAGTATTTTCAGTATTCCAAGGTTGAACCATTAGCATCACACCTGAGAAATATGTTTAAAAACTGTATGTGCCTGGTACAAATGTTTTGGCTGATGAAATGATTGCAAGATTTCTGGTAGAAGTATACATAAGTCCAATACCAAATGGATACAAAATTGTGATGCTGGTTATACATGGACCTTCACATTCACATCATGAATTGAGAAGAATAGACAAATTACTGGACTTTGGGTGTTTGGTATGGCATTTAGTACACCAGCTTCCTAAAACTGAATCCTATGATGTGTATATGGATAATTACTTTTCTAGCATTGCACTTTTCAAGTATATGTGTGATAATGGTTATGAAGCTTGTGGGACTGCTTGTTAAATTATGCCAAGAGTTAAAACTTGGCAAATTAAAATACCAACATTTGGATTGGAATACGTTGTTAGGAAAGGTATTAGAAAATGGGTTGGCCATATTATGGATTGACAATGGCCCAGTAATTATGTTACCTACAATCCATAATATTGGTAAAGAATGGACTGTGACACATGAGCATTGTAGACTGAGAGAAACTAGTTCTAATGCAAATACTGTTTGTTGAGTCTTCAGGAATCTTTCCAGGAAAGCATTAGAGATTTCCAAGATTATTATGACTATAATCATTATATGGGTGGTGTGGACATTGCAGACCAACTGATATATGAGAGGGTATTACAATTGTCAGTTAACAGTTTGCAGAACATGGTTTCCCTTGTTTTTCTGGTCATTAGATACTACACTTGTTAATTGCTTTAAACTTTATTGTAAAGTCACTGACCAGAAAGTTGCAAGCAAATAATTTAGACTTGATCTGGCATGGGATCTGATAAACAGTACTGTGGAAGATGTGGGTAAAAGAATCACTAGATCAGACTTGTCTAATGCTAAAGACACATATCTCAGAAATTTCAAGATACATGTATCTATATCAGTCACTGAACATTTCACAAAATTTTTGATTGACTTGCAATTTCATATGGGGCAGACTGCAACAAAACCAGA